GCCGCGCACGTTGAGCCGGCTTTGGGTCGGCTCTTTTTTTTCAGACCGCCTGCGGTCATGTCTTCCAAGAAGAACAGAAAGCGGCAGAAGGAGGGCGCCGAGGGCACCTCGCCCTCGCTGTCTGCTGCCTCGTCTCGCGCGGGGACTCCGGCTCCTCTTGCCCGGCCGGACGTGGCGGCGCCGGGGATGCTGGTGGTGACCAACTTCCTCGAGAAAGGTGAGGAAAGCGCGGGCAGCGGCGAGGCTGAGGCGCCGGAGGGGAGTGCGGCGTGTGGAGGTGGGCGTGACTCGGGAGCCCGCGGACCGCGGCGCGTCGGCGGCGCCCGACCCTCATTGCAAAATGCTCCGAGTTTTCCTTTTACTACTTATTCTTCCTTTCCTTACTCTGTCAGTTCTGGGGATCGAGTCCCCGGCCTTGCGTATGCCACGCACGACTCCCTACCGAGCTGTGGCCGCACTCGAGATGGCCTCGGCTCCTGGAAGATTTACCGCCTATCCAACACTGCAAAAAATGTTTCTTACCCAGCAGGCATAGCTCACGCTAAAAAGCTAAATACCGATTTCTGATGGCGAAACCGTGAGGCCTAGCAGACGGCGTTGCGGCTTTAGGAAGGACGGCGTTTCTTCATCCACCACACGGGTTCTGATATTTAGTTGTTGCTATTTAGTCAGTTGCACACTAGTGTTAATAGTGACTTAGCCTTGTCACATGCATAGCTCACTTAGTTTTCGCAGAAGCTGTGACAGGTGAGGCCGGTTTTACAGAGTAGAGAAAGCTAACGGGCTTTCATGTTTTGAGTTCAGATCCGTTTGATTCCAGAGCCGTTGTCTCACATCAGTTTTGTTGGCTTGGTTGACTTTATATCTGAAAAGTCGTTTTCTTGCTAAGTGTCTTAGCATGCTTGATGTGTAATTGTTTCAAAAAAAGGGAGGAGACTTAACTAGGGACATGTTTTTTAATGTCTAGTATGATTTGAAAGACAATTTTAGAGATAGCACAGTGCTTATATTCTGACTTAGAAACCAGACTACAACTTGTTCGTGTTGTGCTCTGAATACTCGACTCCCTTCAAGTAGATCCTTACCACTGTCATTTACATACGTTCATCTTACTTCTGTCTCAAACCCATCGAAAGTTCCACGACTTCTTACTGCCATTACCTTCTCTGCACCTGTTTATTGCCTACTCATTACATGGAGTGTCCGATGCCTGTTTGTCGATCACATACCCCTGGTCCTGTTGGACTTGCATGCCATCATCTACTGTGAACTGCTTTGTAATGGTCACAGTTTGTCTGTGTTGGCAAACCAGTGGATGTTTTTCATTACTCGACTTTTGATGCCCGTAGCCTTTGGCAATGTTGATCTTTTCTTCCTCAAAGCACTTTGCTACTTTATCATTAGGCTTTCATAATTTTCTCCATGTGCATTGGTAATCATTTTCTTTGCACGTTTGCCCTCTTCCATCTGATTCTGAAATATTGAAGTTTCTTAATTCTTAGTCTAATGCCCTCTTTTTTTTTCTCTAAATATAATTCATGGCAAGAATATCCAAAGCTAAGTTTCTCCTTTATATCATCTTCAATTTTGATTAATTTTTGTGAATTGTACTGTTTCTGAGGACGGGCATTGTTGGCGTATGCCTTTAATCCCAGCATTTGAGAGGCAGAGGTAGGTGGATCTCTTGTGAGTTCGAGACCAGCTTGGTCTACAGAATGGGTTCCAGGATAGGTTAGATCTACACAGAGAAACCCTGTCTAGAAAACAAAACAAAACAAAACAAAACAAAAAAACCCAAACAAATCAGAAATTTAGGGGTTAGGCATCATTCTCAAATCTGTGTCTGCTCCACTATCGTTTATTATCCAGATATTTTCAGTATTCCTTCTCACAGCATTCCTGCTGCTTCTGTTTCAAACTCAGACATCATTCTTACCTAAACTACTGCAGTGGCCATTATTTGATTTCCCTGCTTGCAGTTTTGTTCTCTTACTCTCTTTTCTACTTTATAGTCAGAATGACCTTGTAAAATGGAAACATACAGTGATACCACTATTCTTCCCTGTGAACTTCCATTGCTGCCAGGATTAGGACTGGTATCTTGGTACAGTACGCTGCCCTGCATGTTTTTTGCCTTCCGTAAGCATCTCTCTTGTTTCTCATCTGTCTTTTAGTCTCTGAAGGATGCATCATACACCCGTCTATCCACAGCATCTGTGCATGCTTTTTCTGTTAAGAAAAATATCTTTTCATATTGAGTTATTTCTCTTTCTCCACACCTGAATTTTAACAGTACTTTCTTTTGAGTAGCATTCTCTAATTCTTCCAAATTAGGTCAGATCACATGGAAGAGACTTTGCTAGGTCTCAGTCATTTTGTTGTTACATAGTCTTAGTTGGTAACTGAACAGTTATTCCATACTGGTTGGATAACTCATCCTACTAGATTATAAACTCCATGAGGCAATGGAGCAAGGGTGGATGGTTGTTTGAAATTGGCCTGATGGGCTGGTGAAATGACTCAGTGGGTGAAGATCTTATGGCACTGACATTAGGACCAGAATTCAGATATCAAGCACCCATGTAAAAAGCTGGGTGTGGAGGAGGGGAAGATGATTCAGTGGGTAAGAGTGCTTGGTTTGCAAGCATGAGGACCTGAGTTTGAATCCTCAGCACCCATGTATTGTTGCGAGTTATGTAATCCGATAATTGGGAGCTAGAGACAGGTGTATCCTGAGAGCTCATTGGCCCAGAGTAGCCAAAAGGTATCAAGCTTCTTTCTGATTGAGTAAGGCACATAACACAGGGTTATGATGTGGTGATATATACCTGTGATGCATGGGGAGGGCAGACTGTTTTAGTTTCCTTTCCATTGCTGTAAAATACCCTGAAAAAGCAGCTTAAGGGAGAATGGATCACAATTTCAGGTTATAGTTCATCACAAGAAGTCACAATGGCAGGACCTTGAGCAATCTATCCACTTTACATTCACAGTCAGAGCAGAGAACAATAAGTTCTTGTATGAATTCATTGCTTCCTTTTGATTGTGAATGTCATGTGAGTAGCTGCTCTAAGTGCCTGTTGCTATGAGTTCGAGTTTGATCCTTGGAAACTGCATGGTATAAAGGAAAGAGTGGATTCCCTGAAATTGTCCTCCTACCACCATATACATGCATGCATACACTAAATGTACAGTCTTGAAAGAATGAGGACTTGTGGAATGCTTGAGTAGATTTGGATGGTATAAGCAGAGAACTGTATAATGGTGGTATATTGAGAAACAAGGATTTGGATGAAAATTTGTACAAGATCTCCATTAACTGGGAGGTGTGGGGTTTTTTTAGGGAAGGTTTTTAAAATCCTGAACTGTGTGGTTCAGAAGCGGAAACAAGCCTCTAGAGGCAGATAGATGTTCTAATTGTAGTCTTTGAAACCTAGCAGCTAACTTTCTGCAGAAAGTACAGAGACTGTTGGAAGTATAGTTTTTGTAGTTGGTGCTGTCTGTCACGGTGCTGAGGACAGAACCCAAGGCCTTGGCCATTCTAGGGAAGTGTTCTATTCTGACCTAACATACCTGATCCATAGTATGATCTTAATGAACCAAGAGATTTCTTTACTTTAAATTTTGTAGGTTATACACATTATACTCACACATTGTCAGTAAACATTCCAAAAGGTTTGGCTTTACCTTACTTTGTTTAAAAAGGAGTTTTTTTTTCAGAATATGATAAATTCCTATATGAATATAGGATTTTAATTTATTTAAAAATGTCTTAATTTCAATTATAAAATAGTATAAAATAAATTAATAAATTAAAATAAATTCTCTCTTCTTTTATAGTAGATGGCAAAGTTCCTAAGACATTCCAGAATTCCCTTGTTCATCTTGGACTTAATACTATGAAGTCTGCAAACATATGTATAGGCCGACCAGTGCTCCTTACCAGTTTGGATGGAAAGCAGGAGGTAAAATTCCTTATCCTTTTACTAGAAACATTGGAAATCGTTCTGATTTTAACTTTGAATACAAGCAGGAGTCAGTGAGCAGAAGTTTTTAATTGTGTATATAGATCAGGAGTTGGTTCTTACCTTCCATGATGTCCGTTTCAGGAGTCATACTCAGGTTATTTGGTCTTTACCTGTTGAACCATCTTACTGACTCCCAAAAATGTACTTTTAAAGATAGTTGTATGAGTGCTAGAGAGATGGCTCAGCAGTTAAGAATGTGCACTGTTTTTCCAAAAGGTCTGAGTTAGGTTCCTAGCACCCACATTGGGCAGTTCACAATTACCTGTAACTCCAGCTCCAGGGGAACCTGATGTCTTTGTGGACACCAGCACATGTCTTCACACCACACATGTACATACATACATACATACATATATTTAAATTAATATATATATTTAAAGTTATCTTTAGAAACTAGTAAGACTGCCATGTACATGGTAGTCACTTAGATATCATAGAGAAAGGACCATTGCTTTTTTGTTTTGTTTTTTTTATAGGGAGGTAGTAGCACATTTCCCTTTAAGCTTTGTTTGTTTTAGTTGTTAAATACATTTCTGTACAGAAATGTTACCTTAAGGTAAGAAGAGCATCTGCCCTCCATACAAATACTCACTTGTTTTCCCTGGATTTGGCTGTACTTCTTGATGCCATATGAAATCTGAAGACTTCCAAGAACAGAGCTTTTAACAGATTTTTAGAAACTTGTCTCTCTCCCTGTTGCCAATTCTGGCCTCTGCCATGGCAACCCCCCCCCCCCCCCCCCCCCCCCTCCGGCCTTCTTTCGTCCAGGGAAGATGCTTGTGTGTTCTTTTATGGGTATGTGTGTAAATGTGTTCTTATGCATGTAGAGACCTCAGATGTTTCTTAGGTTCCCCCCACCTTCTGTGCTGTTTGGCTTGTGTGCCCCAGAGACCTAGCCATCTCTGCCTCTCAGTAGTGAGATTACAAATGTGAGCCACCACACCTGGCTTATTTTCATGGGTTCTGGAGGTTGAACCCAGGTCCTCATGTTTGTGTAGCAAGTACTTTACAGACCGAGCCATCTCTCCAGCTCTAAGATCCAGGTATTAGAGACTCTTACACTATTTTGCAGTGCATCATGGATGGATAGGAAGTACCAGGTTGCATTCATTACAAGTTATCTTGCTTTTAATATTGTTCTCCTTTACTTCTTACCATCTATTAATGTCTTTGTCCTTTTTTTTTTTAAATCTGCTTTCCATCTTCTCACTATGAGCTGCTTCCTGATCTTCACAGAAGATACAATATTCATTAAAATTAATTTGTGAACTTACATAGTATTTAATTTTATATTTTTGAACTGTAATTTATCCTAATACAGGTTGTGTCATATTATTTGGGAATAATGATTGTGTTTTGTGTGTTAGATATGCTTAACATATGTTCCTTATAAGTTGATGGTATTATATGTACTGATTTTCTGATATTGTTATTTTATTTCTCTTGAGTAGGTTTATACAGCCTGGCCAGTTGCAGGGTTTCCTGGAGGCAAGGTTGGCCTGAGTGAAATGGCACAGAAGAATGTGGGTGTAAGAGCTGGTGAGACCATCCAGGTTCAGCCTCTTTTGGGAGCCGTGCTTCAGGCTCAGGAAATGGACTTGGCACTGAGGTTTGGCTCTTTTCTTTGGCGACTGTCTATCTCAAAGCTTCTCAAAGGATATGTAATGATTGGGGATGGAGAAATGGCTCAGTGGTCAAGAGTCTAGGTTCTTGCAGAGACCCAGTTTTGGTTCCCAGCACCCACAGGACGCATCACAACCATCCATTACTCTAGTTTATTGAATCCAAAGCCCTCTTTTGATTTTGCTGAACACTAGGCACAAATGAGGTACACAGACATACATGCTAGCAAAACATGAAATAAAATAAATAGATCTTTTAAAATAAAAAGAGGTATAAACATTCAGTTTGGGTTTTCTAAATAGATGAAGAAATGTATTCTTATAAATTTTATTTAACTCATATATGAAATGTTATTTTAATATATAATTATAAAAAGTTACTAGTAAGGTACCCCTCCCTTTCCCCACATCAAATCTTTCAAATCCAGTGTGCCTGTTATACTTGTAGCATGTTTGTATCTTTGAGACAATGTCTTACTGTGTAGTCCAGGCTGGCCTTGAATTTATGATCCATTTACCACAGCCTATAGATACTGGAAAATTTGTCCTTTGTGTTTGGGGCGTAAACCAGGGTTTTGTGCATACTTGTACTCCCATTTCTAGCTACAATAGCCATATACATTAAATGAGTAATGATACAGTGTATATGATAGCATAAGCTAAATGAGTGAATATAATTTATGTATAAGGGACTCTGATAACCCTGTAGTTAAGTAACCCTGACATTTTAAATGAAGGGATAATAACTGATGAATACTTAGCAGTGTATTTCATCTTAACTTGCAGTTAAATCAGGATTCTTACAGCTTACTGTGAATAGCTAGGAAATAATTTTTTTTCTCTTTGCCACTGAAGAATATTTTTTCCAATATGAACATGTCAACTACTTTTTAATTAAGAATGCATAAAAATTAATTTCTTAATGAGAAATAACCCCCAGAAATATTTCAGCGAGATAAAGAACTAGGTCTACATTAAATCACAGTCTACATTAAATCACAGTCTGATGTTAAAGGCTTAATAAAACGTTGAAATAAGAATCAGTGTCTGACAGAGAAAAATAGCCTGGATGACTTTAGACTCAGTATTCATATTTCATAAACCAGAGAAAGAATAGTATTTTCCATTAAAAAGCTAGTACAGACCATTTTTCATTTTCAGTATCAGCAGTTTTCTAAAACATCTTAGCAGTTTGATAACTTTTAAAGATTTCTTTGTTGTTAATTCTTTTGAGAATTGAATACACTGTGTTTCAGCCATATTCACCTCCCCTCTACCAACTCTTCTCAGACCTAACCCTCATTCTCTACCCACCTAACTTAATGTTCCTTTTGTAAACCTATCAAGACTAATTTTTGCTGCCCACATGTCCATGTAGCTTTCTACTGGAGCAAGATCGACTAACCATAGTATACAATCTTAGGTAAAAGTGACTCTTCCTCTCTGAGCAGCTGACAGCTGTTCTCCCAATAGCTTCAGGTCTAGGGATGGGGTGGTCCCTTTTCTGGTGTTATCTCTGAGTAAGAGCTGCAACAAAAGGCAGATCATCACTTAGTGTACCTCAGTTGGCAATATAGTTACTGGATGACCCAAACTTTGGGCCTGTGGTACAGCCCTAACAACCACAATTACTTTGTGGATTCTGGATGTAAAAATAATTTTTAGTGATATGAATTTGTAACACAGCATGCACAGATACGAGTTTCAATCATATAGAATTTATATTTTGATTAAATGAACTTGCTAGTAAATCTCCCCTGGTACAAAACTACCTCTGTTCTGTGGGTCATCGACAGAGCTGGACAGTTGTAGCTTCTTCTGTTTACACATTCCTGCTCACACATGGAAGAGGAAGAGTGTTTGAAGACTTTATTTACCTATTTAAAATGTTTTCTTTTGTGGGGTGTATGTGAATATGTATACAAATATATGTGGGGATGGAGGTATGCTCATTTGTGGACAAGTGTGGATGCCAGAGTTTGACCTCAAGATGTCTTTTTCAGTCATCTTTCTGTGTCTGTCTGTCTATTCATTTATTTCTCTCTCACTGAATCTGGAGTGTGCTATTTTGTCTAGACTTGCTGGCTAGTCATCTATTACATCGTCCTTCGAAGTGTTGGTGTTACAAGCTCAACTGGCTTTTATGTGGGTACTGGAGATCTGAAGTAGGGTCCTCTTGTTTGGGCAACAGACACCCTCTGAACCATCTCTCTAGCCCTTTGGAAACTGTTAAGCAGGCTTTTAGAAGTAGGTGCAGTGATGTTAGGTGTGCCTACTTCCTGTACTCCCTGAATACAGCTCTTCTGGTGGAGACAGTGATTACTAGGATGATCCCAAACAGTTCCACCAACCAGAGGCCAAGCATTCAAATACATGGGCCCTATTTTTTCCTTAGGCATATTCCTCAGAATCAGTTTCCATTACAGTCACTATTCTTTTCACCTCTTCAGGTAATGTAAGGGATTTGATTTTTCTAAGACCTAATGTGTATACAAAGGGAATGAAGTTGGCTATGGAGAGGAGCCTTTCTGCTAGGCAAGTTCAGAAGGGGGGTGATTAGGCAAGTGTGTTTTCACATGTATTTGGCTAATATCACACAGAAATACTCTTCTCATTGTGACTTAACATGTACAGTATGTGTATTCATGGGTGTTTCTAGATAGACAGATATCTATACATATGTATGTGTATTTATCTAAATATACATGAAGTATATGTGTATGAGACACTGTTTTACAAAGTATTTACCATTTCTATGCAGTATACATTGACATTTCTTTTTTTTCTTTTTTAAGATTTTATTTATTATGTATACAACATTCTGCTTCCATGTAAATCTGCATACCAGAAGAGGGCACAAGATATCATAACGGATGGTGGTGAGCCACCATGTGGTTTCTGGGAATTGAACTCAGGACCTCTGGAAGAGCAGTCGGTGCTCTTAACCGCTGAGCCATCTCTCCAGCCCCTACATTGACATTTCATAAAGGATTAGTTCTTATGGTTTCATGGCCTCCTAATGTATAGTATCTTATGTTTTGAAGATCACCACCCAAGCCTCTGTAGCATCAAACTGAAGATACTTTCCTGCAAGAAATATGTATCTGGAAAGTGTAAATAGTAAATTTCCCAAATTTTTTTTTTTTTTTTTTTTTTTTTTTTTTTTTTCAGATTTTAAACAAATTGTTCTTCTGGTCTATAATAGCTATGCATGGCACTTTTTCCATGGTTTAGTTTTTAGTCTACCTAATGCTGATTTCTGTTTGTTTTTCTTTTCTCTCCATAGTGACAAAGATAAAGAAATTAATGAAGAAGAACTGACTGGTTGTATTCTGAGAAAACTGGGTGAGACTAGTATTTTAAATTGTTTTCTTCAATTTTAAGCAGCAGCAAACAGTGCTTATGGATTTTTTTTTTAATAGCTAAGTGAATATTCTCTTATATTTTTGTTTGTGAGCCTAGCCTTTAATGGCTGAGCCATCTCTCTAGGCTACAATATTCTCATTCTTCAAATACCCATTTGAAGATAAAGATGGTGGTAGAAGTAAAGCTCTGTGTGTGCGCATGTGCATGCAAGCATGCATGCAGTGACACCCCCTCCATGCATACATTTTTGGGCGTGCATGTATTGTGCCTCAATGATTTGGGTCATGACACCCTAACTAGGGGTGAGGGAATGAAGAAAAGACAAACAGACGTACAGAAAAGCTGGGGTCAAATGGGAGTGGGCTCACTCTGATGACATGGCACTTAATACTACCAACAACTAGGAACCTAAGCATTTTATTAGGTACAACAAAGAGGGAGGAGTTAGCTAATCTCAGGAGGAAGTGTCTGTATGTAGATAGTCTTTCAGGCTGTAAACCTCTGGGAGGAAGAGGAAGCTGCAGTTGCTAGTTTTTTATACACTGGTACCTGGACCTCCTAGGAAAGCTTTGCTCTCCTTCATTTGAACCTGGTCCATATGGTAAGTGGCTTTGCTTATTTGTAATGGGTTTGAAGCTTTGGAGTCCTTCTCATGCTATGCACATGTCTGCAATACACATTGACTGAATACACATTCAGTCACTCAGGACTTTCTCCTCTCCATACACGAGTGCATGCCTGTGTGTGCTTGAGTGTACATGGAGGCCAGAGGTTGACACTGGGTGCTTCATTCTCCACCTTCTTTATTTGTTTAGAATGAATCTTTGACTGAACTAGAAGTTGATGGGTTCAGCTAGACTAGCTCATCAGCAAGCTGAAGGCATCCTCCTGTCTGCTTCCCCAGGGCTGAAATTACAGGGCAGCATCAGTATGCCTGGGTTTTCATAAGGGTGCTAGGGATCTGTACTCAGGTCCTTGTGTTTGTTCAGCAAGCCCTTTACTACCTGAGCCATTGCCACAACCCAAGAACTGAGACCCTTTTTAATTAACTTATTTATTTTGATTGTATGTGTATGAATGTTTGTCTGCATATATGTGTGTATACCACATGAGTGACTAAATTGAGACTTTTTAATCTTTGTGCTTAACACATTTTCCACTAAGGAACATTGCAGTGTTGGTTTGAGTGTGCCATTTAAGTTTAGTTGGTAAAAATGGACTTTTGTTGCTATTGTTTATAGAATTTTAGAATTACTGACATACAGGATTTGAAAGAATGATCTTTTTTATATACTGCTGATACTGTGTCAGGGGAATGTGTCACCTCTATTTTTTTGTGATAGTTACTTTATTAGTGTTCTGGTTTTGTTAATAGCAAATAAATTGAAGTTAAAACTGTTAAATGGGAAAATTATGCTAATGCATATTTAATCAATTGTTTTTAGATGGCAAGATTGTTTTACCAGGCAACTTCCTGTACTGTACATTCTATGGACGACTCTGCAAGTTGCAAGTGTTGCAAGTAAAAGGGACAGATGGTACAACATTAGGAAAGCCTCAGAGTGCCTCTGGTACTGATACCCAAGGAATGGCCTCTGAACATTCTAGCGTGGAAAGCAGTGACGTGGATCTATCCTTCCAGCTAAGCCAGTTAGATCTGAAAGAGCCTCAGAGCCCAGCATTACAGAGTACTCCCTGTAAATCCGTTAAAGACAAAATTATGAATAAAGCTGGTGAAGTTTCATTGGATGTTACACAGAGTCCCAGGGATGGCAGTGGACTTGGACTAGAGGAAGTCACAGGTCTTAAGTGTAGTTTTGATTCATCCAGAGAAGGAAATACTCGACCTGTCAGTGAAGAGAAACTACTGAAGTCTATTAATGCAGGTGCAAAGAGCAATACTGATACTTTTTATTTTATTTCTTCAACAACAAGAATCAATCTTAAAAAAATTTGTACAAATTCAAAAGAACAAGACAACCAATTCAAAGTAACTTATGACATGATTGGAGGCTTAAACAGTCAGCTGAAAGCAATAAGAGAAATCATTGAACTGCCTCTCAAGCAGCCTGAACTTTTCAAGAGTTATGGTATGTTACCTTTAGTTTACTGTATTCATGTTACAATCAAACTGAACAGCAATTAATTAGTTATACTCTCTAATATAATTCCTCACCCTTCTGTCCTTATTTTCTATATCGTATGTTATAGTTGCTTTGGGAGATGGTAGTTAAATGGCTCTTCTCAGTGCTTGGTCTTTAAAGTTGTGATTTATTTGAGTGCAAGTATGTCTCTTATGATAGCATATTATCCACTGTTGGTGGACTGGATCTTCAGAAAGTCTCTTGTTATACTAGATAAGCTGTAATGTCTAAAGAAATAAGCCAAAGGTAGTCATGGTTTAGTTAAAGCTTGTTAGGAAATGTAGTTTGTGTGTCTACTTTGATTGAGTGGTTAAGGAAGTAACTTGACTTCTAGGAAACTCCTGTATGGTTGCTGTCCAAATCCTTTTCTTCTGTTTCTTATGTATTACAACCCCCCCCATCCCCGTTTTCCCCTTTCTCATGGATCTTTATGTATAAGGAAGTCGTGGATTTATGTATTTGTTAGTAATTTTTTTGTATTCCTTAAGAGTATAAATTGGAAAAAATTATGTTGTGATCTGATTGTTGAACTGTGCTACCTTGATGGCACAAGACGGGCTCTTTTTAAAAAACAAACAAACAAAAACACCAAAAAATTATACATGCTTCCTTTGGTTTGTGATCTGTAGAGGTAAAGTCATTGGAGGGCTCACGATACCCCAAAACCATTGGGGTAGATAATACATCTTTCTGGGAAGTAGGGGAAAGGTAGAATTCTCACTTTGTACAAGGTAAGTTTTCATTTCTAACTTATGTTGGAAGTTGTATGCCAATGTACCAAAAATTTAATAATAATACTGACTGCAGTGGTTTCTTTGTTTGCTTTTTTTTTCTTGCAGGAATTCCAGCACCTAGAGGGTTGTTACTCTATGGTCCCCCAGGCACTGGAAAGACAATGATTGCTAGGGCTGTTGCTAATGAAGTTGGAGCTTTTGTTTCTGTAATTAATGGTCCTGAAATTATAAGCAAGTAGGTATTTGACTTAATAAGTTAACACTTATTACTAAATTTACATATCTTGGGTGTGTCTTCTTAAATGATTGTGTTATATTCTGCCTTAAATAATTTGGAGTATTTTAAATTTGCCCTTTTTGTCTGAGGCATGGTCTTTCTTACCTATGTAGCCAGCCTGACCTTTACTTTCAATCTTTATGCTGAGATTATATGTGTCCTTCTAAGTTTGCTTTATAAATATGTACAAAATTTGAAAATAAGTTTTGAAAATTAAGTATTTTTTTCTCTTATAGAAAAAGTTTTATAAACAATAAGAAGTGTAAAACAGTATGTGTTTTTTACTCATTGCAGATTCTATGGTGAGACTGAAGCAAGGTTACGTCAGATATTTGCTGAAGCCACTCTACGGTATTGTTAATATTTGATGATTTGGAATTAATAATTAAGGCTCTATTTAAGTGAAAAATAGTGGCGCTGTATGCAAAGCTAAGGAGTAACACAGAGTGATGGCCTTAGAGATTGATGGGAAATTTAAGGAAATATTACCTAATCTGGAAATTTGATAAGGAAGTTACTAAATGACATTAAGTAGAAGAATTAAGACATTAGTAGGAAACTTAGGCTGGGTGGAGATTCATCTCATGAGGATAGAATGCATTTGTCCGTTCTTGGAATCATTTTCCATGCTATGAGAGTCTTTTTCAGAAAGTCTTTGTACTGAATCTGAAAAGTGTTTGCCCATGATTTCCTCTAGCAGTTTCAGGCTTCAGGCCTAATACTAGTTTTAGAAACCTTTGTGTAAGTTTTGGTTTAGTGTGAGAAATATCTTCATTCTATCTGTGGATATTTACTTTTTCCAGCATTATTTGTTGAAGAAGCTTTCTCCACCAGTGACTGTTTTAGACACCTTTGCTAAAAATTAGGATGCTGTTGCTATGTCCTTTATTCCATTAGTCTTTGTGTCTGTTTTTGTATCAGTACTGTGCTGTTTTGTTTTGTTTTTTGTTTTTTTGCTTTGCTTTTCGAGATTTATTTTTATGTGTATGTACATTTTGCCTGCATGTATGTCTGTGCACTATAGGCCAGAAGAGAGTGTCTGATCCCCTGTAACCAGAATTACAGATGTGGGTACCAAGAATCAAATCCTGTTCATCTGTAAGAGTTACCAAGTGTTCTGAATTGCTGAGCAATTCTTCCCTTGGCTAGGGGAATGGTGACTGGAGCTGTGTATCTCCTGTCATTTTATCTGTGCTTCAACAAATACTTCTGTGAATTTTTGGGACCTTTTTTCTTTGAAATAGTCTGTATTTTTTGTTTTTCCCTTTTACTGTTACTCTTCCGCAAGTCACACACAGGCCTTTTATGATAAGCTAGAATGTGAGGTTGATAGCTTTGCACTAGAATTAATCTAGGATTTTTTTTTTGACTTAGCATTTTGTTCTTCATATTGATAAATAAAATCTAAATATAATACGTTTGTTTTTAGGCATCCATCAATTATTTTTATTGATGAGCTAGATGCACTTTGCCCTAAAAGAGAAGGAGCACAGAATGAAGTGGAAAAGAGAGTTGTAGCCTCACTCTTAACATTGATGGATGGCATTGGCTCAGTAAGTACAACACTAGCATTTAGAGTATGGAATAGCAAAACCTACCAAATGTGTCTGGGTCTGTGAGTATCTCAGGATAAGGGAAAATCATCAGGCATGAAACTGGGTTAATACTCAAAGTAATTTGCTTCTTTAATTGCTTAATAACTGAGAGATCCATATAGCTTGGCATGTTTTCCTGTTACACAAAATAATTTATCATATGGTATTTGTGTGTGTGTGTGTGTGTGTGTGTTTGACACATGATATTAATTTGAAGTCTGAGACATGTTAATAAGGAAGATTCCCTATTAAATTTTATTCAGTCTCCCTGAATATGATGGTATATGTTTGTAGTCCCAGTGCTTAGGAGGCTAAGGAAGGTGGATCATTTCAAGAATAGGTACATAGTGAATGAAAATGAGGCCACCCTTGGCTATGTGAGATCTTTGTCTCAGTAAACTAAATTTTAATAATTTTAATGAGGTTTTTTTTTTTTTTTTTTTTTTTTTTTTTTTTTTTTTTTTTTTTTTTTTTTTTTTTTTTTTTGCTTTGAGGTAGGTCTTAGTGTGTAACCCAGGGTGTCCTAAAAAACTCAGTTTTAATCTGAAAACATTTAAGGGACCTGGATGTGTACTTTTGAATTTATAAGTTCATAGTAGTTTACATATTTTCTGCTGGTATATTCATAATTGATGTTGTTTTAGTTGCCTTATGAAAAGTCACTAGATTCTATTAATGCTTATCTCTGAAATTACACTTGGATCATCTGATTGAAACATGGATAATGTCTGGAGGTTGCTAAAAATAGTCATAGTTCTTTATAATTTGCTACTCTTAACCTCATCTTTAGGGAGTAAAAAAATCTTTGTATTCAGAGATACTGGTTATGGTTTCATATTTTCTGGAATTTTAAAAATTCATTACAATAAAAAAAACAGGTATGTCAATATGGCTCAGCAGGTTAAGACTAGCCACCAAGTCTGACAGCCTGAATTCCATCCCCAAGACTTACGTGGTTGCAGGAAAGGACTCATTCTTGTAGGCTGGACTTTTCTGTGTCCTGGCAGCAGCTCCCAAGTAACCACACAGATTTAATATTAATTGTAAATGCTTGGATGATAGCTTAGGCTTGTTTTAGCTTGCTCTTACACCTTAAATTAACCCTTTTCTATTATCTGTGTATTGCTCCAAGGCTTGTGTACCTATGTTCATACTTCCCATCCTGTTTGCTCTGCATCTCATGGTATCTACTCCTGACTACCAAGACTTTGCCCCTCTTCTTTCCAGCATTCTCTCAGCCCCAAAAATCCTGCCTAGCCATTGGCCAATCAGCTCTTTATTAATCAATGAGAGTAATACATATTTACAGTGTACAAAATGATTATTGGCACAACACAGTCTTCTGTATGAATACTATTTAGGTTATAATCTTCACTTCTAAGTAGTGGAAAACAACTACTGGAAAGCTTTCTCAGGTAGAAAGCATTTAGGCTAAACTTTGAAATAGCTGTACTAAAATTAATGTTTAGTAAAAATGTGTTACAAAGAAAATTGATTAGTAGAAGTATAAGGATTAATGCTTAATAATCTAGTCCATCTATTCATTCTTTTATACAGAGTCAATTTTCACCTATATTTTTTAAAAACCAATATGTAATTTTATTTTGTTAGGAAGGAAGTGAAGGACGGGTACTAGTCCTTGGAGCCACAAATCGCCCTCAAGCACTAGATGCTGCACTCAGAAGACCAGGGCGATTTGATAAAGAGATTGAGATTGGCGTTCCTAATGCCCAGGACCGGCTTGATATTCTTCAGAAGCTGCTCCGAAGGGTGCCACACTTGCTCACTAAAGCTGAGCTTCTGAGACTGGCAAATAATGCCCATGGATATGTTGGTGCAGACTTGAAGGCCTTGTGTAATGAGGCAGGTGAGAATGACTGTTTCTGATGAGTCTGTATTGACAGTTTATGTATATACTGATAATTTTTGTTGCTTCTGAATAGAAGTAGCTTAATTTTGTTTAGTTATAAATTATGTATTAAAAATGTATGTAATTTAGAAAACTCTGAAGAAGGAAAACCACTCTATTTTTACCTTTTTAAAGGTAGAACATATTTTCAGATTTTTCTTTAGCACATGTGTGCATGCACAGGCAACCAGATGTGCAGGTGTCATTATTGATGACAGTGTTATTACTGTGTTGTGGAACTTAAGAAATTACAGTTTTATTTACAGAGTAGTTTGGTGTTTGTGTTGGAACCAACGTAGCAAAACTCAAGAATGTATGTTACAGTGACATTTTAACTGAAAATGTGTGAGGGCTTAAGAACATCATAAGGGCATAATGGAACATGTGTGTATACACATACCATAGTACATGTGAGGAGGTCAGAGGATGCCTTCAGGTGTCCTGAAGCAATAGCTCCTTGCTATTCTTGCTTGAGATAGTCTTTTTTTTGCCAGAGTACACCAGTCTAGACGGGCCTTGAGTTTCTGGTGAGCATTCTCCTTTCTCTGCCTCATGCTGCTGTAAGTCCTGAGATTATAAACACATGCTATAGCATCCAGCTATACACAGGTTTTAGGATCCAGACCTGGGTCTTCTTTCTTGCATGCCAAGGGCTTTACTGCACTTGGCCATCTTTGCAGCCCCTGTACTTAACTTTTGAAGCTCTTCTGGACAGTATTTCAGAGTATTTTCAACTATGGAAAGTATGTTTAAATCAAGATAGCTTTTATAAGCCATTGAAATAGTTGATTCAGCAAATAATTTATTGAAAGAAATCTATTTTGTTTTCCTGAAGGATCTTATCCTCTTAAACTTGATCAGGCATATCTGTAATCTTAGAAGTATCCCCAGGTCTTTGTATGATGTGTTTTCATGCCCTTTCATGTGCTGGGCTCTCTTGTTCTCTATTGTGGCATTATGTTGATTACAGTTTGTCATTCATCTTATATTTTCATATTACACTTTTTAGAAGGTTTAATTCTTGTGGTAATGGAAGAAATTTGTTTTTAAATACGAGATTTCATTATTTAGAGCCTTAATTTTGAATGGCAGGCAACTTTTGTGCCTAAATAACCAATTTACATTTGCATAGTTAAGTATGCTTTGAAGATTCCTTATTTCTTTCAACCCTTTTTAGGAAAGAATTTATTTTGTATTTAATTTTGTGTATGTGTGCTGGTGCCCTCAGAGGCCAGAGAGGGCATATGGTCCTTTGGGGCTTCAGTTATAGAGATACAGGTGGTGGTGAGCCACATGATGGGGTGCTGGGAGTAGAACTGAGGTCCTCTGTAACAGATGCAATGCTGAGCCATCTGTCCAGCTCCTTGTTCTATCCTTTTTATCTGCTCCCTGTAAGTATGGGAAAAGAAGGAAATACAGGAAAATAAATTTAGATTAGATACGTAAGAATGCTTGAATGTCCTGTGATAGGAAAATAATTTTCTTGTTTTCTCACAATCACCATAATTTCCAAGTTGGAGGACTACTGGGTGGAAGAGGTGGTAAATAGAAACATTTTTTAGTATAATAGCTCATAAGGATAGGTCATATATTTTTTGTGTTCTTTCTATGCTGCTTTTAGCTTCATAGGGAACGATGGGTCTTGATGTAGAAATACATTTCCTGTGATCCAAGAAACAGATATCAGTGGGTAACTTTGCTTCTTTCATCTATTAAGTGGTAATTAAGAGTCTGGATTACTGTGTTGATCTGTGGACTTGCCCATGATGCCCAGACAAGGATCTAGTCTTCAGTCCTTTAACAGATATTCTCTGACTTTATCCTATATTCTGCTGTACCGAGACGTTATGATTCTTGTTTTCCAGAAAGAGGCTAGCAAAGGAGAGAGATGTGTAAAAAGCTACTAGTTCAGTAATGAAGTGGTCATAAAAATGGGAGAAATATTGTGATTTTTCTAAAGGAAAGGAAATGTAGTTATATAGAAAAAGTGGCCTCCGTGAAGCCTAAAGAGGAAAGGAGGAGTTTCAGATGGATTGAGAAAGAGAAAATGTCTCTTCAACCCTCTCACCAGCCCTGTGAGACAAACATGTGGTATTTCCTCTGAAAGTCAAATAATAAAACACTTTTTTTTTTTTTTTTTTTTTTTTTTTGAAAAAAAAAAACACTTTTTTTTTTTTTTTTTTTTTTTTTTAGGATGGTATGGCTTTACAGTTTAATTACAGAATCTGTATAAAGTTAAAAAAAAAAAATACAAGCATTTTCTGGTATGTCCCAGGACCTGATCTGTTTCACTCTAGGCTATTACTTTCTCAATTGTGAGAAGATTTTAGAAAGATTGGTGGTAGAATTACAGTCCAGTATGTTAAAGTAATGGTTTGGGTATGTTGTCCTGAATGTTAATATATGTTGGTATCATTGTTTTATCTTTGTATAGCAGAATACACAAACTTTAAGAGCAGGGTGCCAGAATGTTTCTATAATAGCTCTTTAATTTTTAAGAATGTCTTTATTTTATATGTATGCATATTTTGCCTGCATGCATGTCTGTGCATCACATGTTGTCTGGTGCCTGTGGACCCCTGAAAAGGGTGTCGGATCCCTTGGGACTGGAGTTTGAGACAGTGTGAGCTGCCATGTATGTGCTTCTGGAAAAGCAGCCAGTGCTCTACTGATGAGTTATCTCCAGCATTTTGAATAGGTTTTGAGGAAGCATTGAGTAGATTTGCATATAAAGTCAGGTTTGTAATCTTAGTCAAGTTTGAGCCTTATTCTTTTCCATTTGTGAATTAAGTAGTTTGGGGGAGATGGCATTGGATTACTGTTGCAGACATGACTTTGATTGGATAAAGGAAAGGGAGAAGATGACAGCAATTACCCAGTTACTCATCAAGCCTGTTGTGGCCTCATCATACAGAATCCCTTTACTGGATAGATATAGCTGGTTAGCTTTCCCAGAGTATGGATTTCTGGGCTGTCCCACAGTTTGTAGGACTGAGGCTGCATCTTTTATGGTGTCAGTATGCCACACTTGGTCTAGATCTCTGGTCTAGTTCTTCTCTGTATCCGTCTCTTAAGTTTGTTGCTATGCAAATATGAAAATTGGAAATAGTACTGTAGTATATCTTAGTATACTTATGAGATAGTATAACTTATCTCATAACAGCTGGATCTTTTGTTGTACATCCAGTTATAATACTTAATGTTGATAGTTGGGACTCAAACTTACTTCAATTTCAGATGTTAGATTTTGAGGTAGTGTGATGTGCTGGGTACAACTTATTTGGAGACTTCTGTTTTGTAGCATCTCACCTTTGTAAGCAAGGAGCAGCTTTTTGAAGTATTTTATCTCAAATGGATAGGTAAGCTGCTTACAACCTAGGCTGTCTTATCCTAACACTTACGTCAGTGTGTATCATCTATACTTTGACTGCCTTTCTGGCTAACTAGTTGCATAGCCTTTTTATTCCTTCATTTTATGTTTTAAAGCAACAGCAAAACAAACAGAGTGAATTCTTTTGGAAAACATGAAATGTTAATTATGTAAGCTATGCTGAAAGTTGTAAGATGCTTAGCAATGTTTCCCAAATAGAGGAATTTATTATAAATTTACCTTCTAAGACTGCCTGACTATATTGTGAAATAGAATTTGATTTCTTCAAGGAGTGGGCTGTTTTTTTTTTTTTTCTTCAGAGAAAGGAAGAATATGCTTTGTATTGCTGAGAACTTATCTCATAATTCATGTTAATTACACATTGTTTCAACATATTCATATCAAACTGTTTTTTCTAAGATAGCATTGTAGAACAGAAGAAATTCAAACTTGTTTACCTATTGATTTTATTGTTACAACACTTTAATTGGTTTAATAGCAATATTGAATCTGATTTTTGTGACTCAGAGAAATTCTTAACTTATTGTTACCATCTTTTTAAGCTATTTTACATCTCTCTAAATTTTATTTTCTTAAGGGTCCTTTAGGGTGTTGTTTAGTGCATTATTATTATGGTACTCTGTCTATTCCTGTTATTTCTCTCCTTAAAAACAAAAAACCAAACAAGTTCTCCAAACCATAAGCTTTCTTCAGCAATCCTTTTGCTTCATTTTTCCATCTTTAGTCTTCCTCAGTACTCTCATAAAAGTATTTCTTATTACAGACTGTGTGTGCATTTAACTCTCAGGTTATCTTCTCTTGTTTGTGTTCCATCTCCTTTCAGATCTCCTGGTCTCTAAACTCATGGCTTGGTTTTAGTGCATTCAGGCAAAGGGCAATTGCAAAAGCATGTTAGAGTTATACTTCTTTTAATGACACCCTATGAACACTTTTGATAAACTTTGATTTCTTTATAAGTTGTTTTATGTTTGCAAAATGCCTGCCTTCTAGGATGTAATTTCAGTTTGTCATCTTTCCACTGCCTAACTTAAGCACTTGAGTTGTGCTTTAATCTTCCATATATTTGTGTCCCCTTCATGTTTAATCCCTCTCTCCATTTCATACATACCTGTAAGTACAAAATACAGTAAATGATTTAATACCCACAGAGTTTGTGGTTAGTAGTATTGTTACCTAGTTGGTATTTATGGGATAAGTGATCAGTTTTTGTGTTATTTTACTCTTGTTAGGTCTGTATGCCTTGCGAAGAGTCCTGAGGAAACAGCCTAACCTCCCTGATAGCAAGGTGGCTGGCATGGTGAAAATTACCCTGAATGATTTCTTACAAGGGATGAATGACATCAGACCTAGTGCTATGAGAGAGGTAGCAATTGATGTCCCAAATGTAAGTAATTTATACTCTGTACCATCTTTACTATTTGAATAATGTTCTTAAGGAAACTGAGACTCCAAGATGACTGACTTGCTAGGCTAACCTTTTTAAAATATACATGTAAAGTAAAACATTCTCCAGATAGTTATAAATTCAGTAAAGTTCTAAGGTAACTCAGAGACACCCTATGTTGTATATCCTTTGCCTGGTTTTCTCTGGTGGCAGGATCCTGCAAAACCAGATTGGGTATGCACATTGCTAAATTCTGCTTTGACTTGAACTTCTTCACTTTCAATTGGACTTTCAGTATTTGGTGTATTTAGGCATATGGAGTTTTGTCAGATGGAAAGACTTTATCATCATATTCAAATTATCACCACAGAGTTCTCACACTGTGTTTTCATTATCATACCCAACTCAGTCCTCATTCCACTTATAAAATTTTATTATTTTATATAAATGTAACCATATTGGATATAACGTTTTAGAATTAGCTTTTTTACTGAACATGATTACCTAGAAATTCATCTAAATGAGTAGTTCTCTACCTTTGACCTTTAGGGATCAAACTACCCTTTCACAGGGGTTGCATATCAGATACCCTGCATATCAAATATTTACATTATGGTTCATGACAATAGCAATGTAGCCTGAGTTTCTGTTCTGCCTGGTCCTGCAACTGTTTAGCCTCAAATAAACACACTAACGCTTATATAGTGTATTTCTTTGGGGCTAAATGGCTGCGGGATCAGGCGGGACAGGAAACTCCATTTACATAGCAAAATTACAGTTATGAAATAGTGACACAAATAACTTTATGGTTGGGGTTCACCACAACATGAGAGACTGTATTAAGGGTCACAACATTCCCTCATTCAACTATCATCAGAAAAGCCTCTTTTATTTTTAGTAGATGGGCAAAACAACATAGCAAAATTACAGTTATGAAATAGTGACACAAATAACTTTATGGTTGGGGTTCACCACAACATGAGAGACTGTATTAAGGGTCACAACATTAGGAAGGTTGAGAACTACTGCTTTAAATAGTTTTATTTTTCAGTTCGTTCTTTTATTATTTGAGTAGTTACGTCACAAGTGATGTCCAAACTCAGGTCCTCATGCTTATGTCATATACTTGATCTATGTAGCCAGTTCCTCATGCCTTGCCTCAGATTTTATGGTTTCATTTTTTTAGATCTGTGATGAGGCAGAGTGGTAGGAGTGCATGGCAGAGAATGTTTTTCACCTGTGTAAGTTGGGAATTGAAAGTAAGAAAGATGGGACCACAGTCTACCTTAAAGACACATCCCTTGTAACTTAAAATCTCTCATTAGGCTCTGTCTTGTAATGTTTCTGTAACTGCTCCAGATTGCTTAATTGGGAAAGAAGCCATCAATACATTGGCCTTTGAAGGCGGTTTTAAGATCCAAACTGTAGCAATGTTCTATAATATTTCTTCCTCATGATTTCTGTATCTGTTACAGATTTCTTTTTTTGTGATTATGCTTACCTCTGATTTCTAATAGCTCAAAGATTACTTTAAACAGATAAATGCAGCTTTCCACAAAACATACCTTTACATCTTTAGTAATGCTCATATCATACTTCACATCATTTATATATTTTCTGTCTTTAATGTTGTGCCCAAACTCTGAACCCCAAAATCACCAAAAGACCTGGTTTGTTGCAAAAGCCAAGAGTTTAATTTTTCGAGTTAACTTGGTTCACCCATCTATCTGAAACAGCGGGTGAAGCAGGCAGGGACCAGGATGGAACCCCAAGTAGCAGTGGAGCAGGGAATATATTGGGGTAGAACCAGGGGAGTATCTGGGTTCCGCTAGTTGCATAGCAACAGTTTCAAGATTGGTGCACCTCCTGGCTTGGGCGACCTGTCCTGTGTTGATTGGTCATCTGCAGCTGCAGGAAGGTTGCTATGTCTAGAGGCCCTCCCAGGGCAGTTGCTACACTTTTCATTCCACTGTTACCTTAAAGCACATCCAAAGCCTGCCAGCTAACATCTGATTGGTTCCTTGCCACATGGAGAGCAAGGTGGGAAGCTCAGCACATGTTGCTGAATCAGAGGCCTACATTTTACTGGATCTTTTCTGTAGCCTGTCATGGCTGCCAAAGCAGGGGCTTGCCTGAGGGTCTGGTCCCTTCATTTACAAGTAAGTATAGTTACATTTGTCCTTTAGTAAAGATGATGTATGTGCCATTGTTAACAGTTTATATTATCTGAATTTTAGTGTGTTGTTACTGTATTAGGGAGTATATATTTTATTGATAGCATCCTTTCACTTCAAATTGAAAAAATCTTGATTGCACAAGACAGACTTAATTATTTTTGCTTGTTTCATTAAGCCATTCATTGTCTTCAGTTTTGAAGGTTTTTTTTTTTTTCCTTTTTTAAATATAGTATTCTTGGTGGACTAGTTTTTAAAATATATCTTCTAATTCTGGGCATCTGGTTTGTGATGTTCTACGAGTTCTATAGGCTTTTTTCACTGCTTTTCCCCACCAAGTTAGGCAATTTCAAGAGATCTAGTCTAGTGAGTCACCTGCTTATTGACATTTTTGAATTTTTACTTTAGTAACTGTTCTTCAGCATTAGAATCTGTTTTTAATTTTTTAATTGAAATAGATTCTTACACAGTATATCCTGATTATAATTTCCCTTCTTTCTACTCACAGTTCTTCTAGTCCCCCTCCTCTCTCGTCCTCTTCCCCCTCATCCCCTCCCCTCTGGATTCACTCCCTTTCTGTTTATCATTAGAAAAGAACAAGATTTTTAAGAGATAACAACCAAACATGACAAAAATAAAAAATAGTGAGATGAAGCAAAACTCATCATACCAAAGTTGGACAAGGCAGCCCAACCGAACAGTCCTAAGAGCAGGCACAAGAATCTACTCGGTCTCATACTCAGTAGTCCCATAATATATATGCAGAGGACTTGGTGCAGACTCCTGTAGATTCTGTGCCTTAAGCCTTGTCTTCCCCAGGGCTCCCTGAGCTCTGAGGAGAGGGATTTGGTAGAGAGACATCCCATTTAGACTTTCTAAAATATTTTGGCCGTGGGTCCCTGTATCTGTTCCTATTTTCTGTCATAGGAAGCTTCTCTGATGATTACTGTGTAAGGCACTGATTTATGAGTATAGTTGAATTTTTTTTTTTTTTTAAAGACCAGTAGTGTTTGGTTTTACCCTAGGTTTTTGGGATATCTAGTCTCTGGTTCTTGGTCACCCAAGAAGTGTTGGATATGGGTTTCATCTCATGGAGTCGGCCTTAAATCAAATCAGACATTGCTTACTTCACAAGTTCTATGCCACCATTGCCCTAATTTATTTCGCAAGCATAACAGATTGTAGTGAAAGACCCCCGGAGACTCAGGCCCCCAGGATATCTGCCCAGGACTTCAGCGATCCCAATCACCAGGTGGAGGCAAAAGCTTGATGCAAACAGCAAGAGGTTTTATTGCAGTTGTTTAACCAGCTAATCCCATGTTAGCTCGGGCCTTTCATCAATCCACCATGGCAGATGGCTGGGAAAAGATCCTGAGAAGACACAGGACCTAGATCTTATAGGGCAGCGAAAGGGAAGTGTCTAGGGGTACACACAGGCTCAGGATTGGTGTGCCTCCAGGCTGTGAGAACTTGTCCATAAAGCACGCCCAGAGACGTAAAGCATAGCACCACCAGCTAACTTCTGATTGGTTCCTTGCCACGAGGCAGGCATCTGACCTCCTAGTGACCAAGGCAAGGTCAGGCAAGCACGTGTCTGGCTGTTATGGTTGCTGAAATGGGGAGCTGGTCCCTTACAGGGGATGCCAATATCACTCACTCCCTGATGGGGACGCCGGAGAGACAGCATTTCCATGATTGGAATCTCCAAAAAGAAAATGGGGGAATGAAGGGACCAGCTCCTCATTTCAGCAGTTGGCACTAGAAGGACTGGAAGGAGCCTCGAGGCAGGGAATTCATTGGGTGGAGCAAGGAGAGTGTCTAGGGTACATAACAATCTCATGATTGGTGCACTTCCTTGCTTGGACAACCTGTCCTGAGTTGATTGGTCAACTGGTTGCTATGGCCTATACGCCCTCCTGGGGCCGTTGCTATGCTCTGTATGCCACTGTTTGCCATTGTTACCATAAAGCATGTGCAGACCCCGCCAGCTAACTTCTGATTGGTTCCTTGCCACATGGAGGGTATCTGACTTCCTAGTGACTGGGGCAGGTCTGGTCAGGTCAGAAGGCTGGAAACTCAGCAACATGTGCTGAGTCAGAGGCCTATGTCTTGCTGGCTCTTTTCTGCAGCTTGTTATGGCTGCTAAAGCAGGGGCCTGGGTGAAGGTCTGGTCCCTTCATTCCTGATTTTGTGTAATTATGTAATTATTTGTCCTTTGTGATTCACTGATCTTTTAAAGGTGAATATTTTGAGGTTTTTGCTTATCAGTTTGTAGGTTCCCAATATTATTATTGTTGTTAAAGTTTTGTTTAATGTGCATTTGTTTGTGTAGAAGCACCTTTAACCATTGAGCCATCTTGTGATCCTTGATATCCAATTCTTTCAAATATATAGTACAAATGATTTAATTTGTCCCTTTGGTGGTATTGTTTTCCTAATTATTTGTGAGCATTTTGACCTTTTGCTGTTACATGTGTAAGTGAGGAAGTAGACATTTCTTTTGATTTTTATAGATTAGCTTCTTCAAAAAATGTCTGCATCAGTTATCCCTTTAGGAGGTCTCAGGTTCTGCATGCTGATTTGCTGCTCAAGGGTCACATGGTCTGGCCTGGTTCCTGGATCAGCAAATGAGTAAATCTAACATGTACTGTGAGTTCTAGCCTAGAACCTGGGTCTATGAGGCTTGGACTTGATGGTGGGTTAATAGGACTGGAGCCTGAACCCTGAAGACTGACCCAGTGCTAGGGTAGTCTAGAGTAAAGCTACAGGGAAAGACTGCCTGGGTCTGTGAGAGCTGTTTGAGGTATTCTTGTAACCCATCTTGGT